GTTGTAGTATACATTTATACAAATACCTAATTTATTCAGTATATTTAATGATATGCAAAACAGAAAACTCGCTTTATTTATTATTTGTTTCATTCAATGAACGTCAAAATATTTTAGTCTTGTGTTTCGCATCTTACAGATTATAAATCAATTGGTTTTGAGGGTTAAAAAAGTAAAATTGCAATATGCATCTCATTAGGTATTTGTATAAATGTATAAATGTATACTACAACGTTTCTGCAATCGAGTGTATATATATATATATATATATATATATATGTATGTATCGAAAGTATGGCACAGTGGAATCAAATTTTTGGAATAAATCATTAAAAATTTTCTGTCCGGTCGTAGCTATAGGTTTGAATCCCGAAGAGCGCGTTGAGGAATAAGCGCGCAAAGCATGCAGATTTTCCTCCATCATTTCGTCAACAACTACACGTTGCGAATCGACCTCAAAGGTGTGTACAACCAATGTTGTCAGGCCCTAAAAATTGAATGAAATAAAGATCAAGAATTTAAAACTACTTTTAAGTCAACTCTTATTTAAAAGGCATCAGGGTACCCCAAAATTGCCATAAATGATTGATTTTTAGGTTTTTACATTTTGCGAGAGAATAAACAACAAGGTATCATTTTCCAAAACTAAATTTCCAATAGCGTATTTAATRGCGAGTAATAAACGAAAAACGACTTTTTAGCTATAATAGCTTTCTTTATTGCCGACCTCACATCTATCAGCCACTGCTGTAGACTTGTTGTGATCTTGGACGCTTTTGGACCTTTCCCTGCTGCTTGCTTGCTCTAGTTACATGGTCAGTCACTCCTTCGATCCCAACTACGTAGTCTATGTTATATTAGCGCACAGAAGTCATTTATAGATGAATATCTTGATTCTATTCATCGACACAGTGATATTTTTATTGACCTTGTTCAAAGCCATGTTTGTCTTGTCGTGGAGACGTGAATAAGCACTTGCGATTGTACTTTGATTCTCCAACATCTTTTTTTTAATAATAATATCAAATTATAATTATAGTTTTATTCTTTTTTTTCTTTTACAAGTGACAGGTGAAGTAGTAGCATCTCGCTTATGAATCGAGATGTTAGTAYAATAGCTTTTGTATATTAAAAAGAGTTTTTCATATTCTCCTGATGATCCGCGGTGATGGTTTTTATGACTTAGTTTACAAGTACATGACCATAAATATTAACGTTTCATCGCAAAACTCACTTTATTCAAGATAAGCCGGCCGTGAGATAGGCAATAAGGTCTCCTGATAAATTATAATCTTAATGAACAGAGATAAAAATGATCTCAAAGAAATCTTGGTAACGTGTTAAGAGGCCGTGGGTGGTTGAGCTTATTGCATAATATATAGTGCTCCCAAAAAGCAATTTAATATTTATTAAGACAAAGAAAGGCAGTTTACACTCTGTTTCACGAGTCATGTTGTGATAAGTGGGTTGTTTTTATACATTCATCTAACTAACTGGGCTTTGAGATAACTACTCTTCCTCGCTAGTCAAGTAGTATAGTCGAGGCCTGAGTCCGGTATACGCTGTATGGAAGTCATCGCTACGTTGTCTTCTTCTGCAAGAGAACAGCAACGAGTGAACAGCCTTGGCTATCAATGGCAAGGTAACTAACTTTTTCAGATAGAGTCGCCCGTGGGTCGCCCGTCGCGCCCTGTGTATAATATCGTGTAACATGTATCAGACTTAATACCTATGTAGACTCATGAGCTAATTGTTCAGGTTCAAGTCGGTTGAGACCAGCCCCAGTTATTGTTGGCTGAGTTTCAAGGAAGTGGAATTAAAGTAATGAAGTTTTGGCCTTTTTCCCCCAATCGAAATGAAATAGGTATTACTCATTTGCTTTGATGTACTGCAGTAGGACAGAAATCAATCCGATGTTCACAAGTTTTGAATGACTTAAAAGTCATTGGCATTCATACTTATTAAACGGCTCATACCGGTATAAGTGCGGTATAACTGAGCCATTATTGAAAACTGCTTTGCTGATGCAATACATAGCATAAATATTATTTAGTAGATAGTCTGCCTGGGGCTTAGTTGAGTCCATTGACGACAATAGGTTATTGAAAGTATACTTTAGCCTAAATAATATCACGTCAAACTCATATTTGCTTTTAGATTAGTTTAAATACAAGAAGTAAGTGTTACAAGAAGTAAGTGTTACAAGAAGTAAGAGTTGAGGGTCTTTTGGTATGAGGAGTTGAAACGTATTGTGATGTAGTTAGTCTGTAGCTCGATGTTGCCCTCTTGGATGTGACGTGGTATAGGAAATCAAGTATTCTTGATACATTGTAAAGAGAGAGAGAGCGGATATCACATCGTATTGGAGGAAGAATGAGGGATTTATACCTTGAAGCTGATGAAATACAGACACGATGTCTGTGTTGATGATAAAATGTTGTTCACCTAGGGAAATGAAAACCTATGCTACATTAGTGCTACCATACATTATCATTTAATCAGTCACCAAGATCGCCATGGTAACTGTCTTTAATAATAATAAATCTCGAAGGTTAATGCTGATATTTTTCATTCTCTCGAAGGAGAGTGTATTTCATCTTCATAGTCATTATTTAAATATGGTTTCTGTGTGTTTTTCTCTTACATGACTTTGTCCTATATCTTTAGATCAAATATTAAAACTGTAAATGAAATTACCAGAGCGCTCCGACCACGACAACCTCAAAAGCACCACAAGAGAATGATCAGTAAAAGATTAATTTTGAAAAGATTGTCGATAGGATAAAGATTAAAACTGATGAAGATAAGGCGACCACAATGCATCATGTACCATCCTCGGTGACGGCAGTTTCTTGACGTCACTGTTGTTGATTTTTTGAAACTCTTAAGGGCGTGGATAGTCTTATTAATCTGCCATGTCAAAAATAAGTACAGTAGTACCTAAGCGAACACCTTTGGGACCTTGTCTAGCGTCCACTCAATAAAAGGTGTTGGCTTAACAGATGTTAGCTGATCTTTCAAATAATTGGCGAAGAAGCGAATTTAAAGTGGGAACTTCAGATCAGATTAGTGATTCAGATGTTATTGCTGTTGTATTGAAGTCGACTGAACACGGTGCGAGTAAACAGTCATCATATAAATTCGAGTCTGGCTGTCGTTTGAAAGTTTCTCGACGATAGAGATTACCAATTGTGCTTGTAGTTTAGTGTCCGCTGAATAGAGGTTCGTTCTACAGCAAATATAGGGAGAAAAGTTTGGGACCCAAGCTAGTGTCTGCATGGAAAGAGGGTGCCCGCTTTATAGAAAGAGAGTGCCCACTTTATAGAGAGGGTGTCCGCCTTAAAGAGGGCGTCCACTTAATAGAGGTACCACTGTACTTTTTTGTTGGAGGTTTTGTCTGGTTTCTTTTTTAGGGGGAGGGGGGGTTATATTTAACCATGCATTATTAATCGGTTAGAGTGCATACTACAATCTATGCACACAAATATATGTATCAAGAGAATATGAACTAAGAGAAGGAATCCTACCTACATAGCCTTGTAACCATTATGTGCACAGTTTGATGCTACTTTTAGCTTGGAGATATTTTGAGCGAAGAACCTGATTGGTTGATTTCTTGAGGGTAGGCGGCTTCTAGTCTTGCAGTGAAAAAAAGCTTGTGTTTTTGTTGCTTTTCGTGTCCAAAAACGAGGCATTAAAGGAAACATGATTATCGCGCGGGCATGGTAACGAGCTAAAAATAGCATCAATAATTCTAAAAATAGCATCAAAGYGTGCACATGGTGGGGCACGGGGGTTCCTTCTCTTAGTTTTATTTTCTCTTGTATGTATATATTCCCTGATCAACCAGAGTAATATTGGATGGTTCATCTTATACACTTTTCTTGACAAGGTGATGCATTATTGATGTCTCAATATACTAGTTCTCATTGAGGTGGAGTCTAAATTTGTTCGTAAGATCATTCTAATTCTAGCTTTATCAGCCGGCTTTATAAGGAGTAAATGGATATTTTTCCCTTTTTGTGGTACGAAGTAATCTGATATATATTGATCACTAAACATCATTACAAAATGACGAAACAGGAGCGTATATATATTGCATATGTGTTTTCAACTGAGGTGTGAAAAAGGTCCAAAATCAAATGACTGACTGAGAAAAGAAACTAGTGGTAACAGAAATTTATCAAATCTAATAAAGGGTTCGTGCCGCTCTTTCGTAGCTTTTTGAAAAAAATAAGGACAAAGCAACAGCAACAGCAACAGCAACAGCAACAGCAACAGCAACAGCAACAGCAACAGCAAATTTTACAACAACAATGACTAAAACTATGACAACGCTGACGAACAAAACCTTAGTCGACAGTCCTCGTAAAACAAATTCAAACCAAGGAGTC